CAAACTCAGAAAAACCAAGAGCTCGGTTATCGATTCACTCTCCCATCCAGTTGTGTTCATATCCTGCATAGAGTTGTTTAGATGAGTTCGAGAAGTAGTAGGAGCAGCTACAGTTGGCCCGCAATACGAATCAGTCTACATATTTTCCAGTGATCTTGTCAAGCTTGGGCAGGTTGATCATAACCCAGCTCTAGTGTTCTCTTTGTGTCAGCATGACAGTGAGTGAAGGACGCAACTGAAAAGTTTGGCCTTGCCCGAATGTGAAATGCCAGTTGTAAAACAACCCTCCTGTGAACATAAAAATGTACGGAAGCAATATTCGTTGATGACTGAGCACCACGAAAGTACTTCCAACAGGATAAGCAACAAAACTCACGGCAATTCACGTGATAATAACAAAAACTCCAATCCTTACTTGATCTTTCTTTGCAATCCGGAAGTCCAGCCAATCAGTATCGATTTCGTGGTTCATGAACTCCTCGGATTCCATCACTTTGATCAAGTATTCCACAGTAGTACGGAAGTCCCCACGAATTGACAATTCTTTAAGCGCAAGCACCAGATTCCTACGGACGAAAAAGAACAGTCGATTTCACCAAAGAAGTATTTCAAAATCATACGAATAAAAACCAAATTGATCATGCATACGAACAATGAAGTGCTCACTCTCTGGCTTGTTCACGACTTTCGGCAGCCGAAAAACAATGCCCAAACTGGGAATCAGCGAATTCATGGATTCCGCCAGCGCTTCCCACACTGAAATAGCCCCAAACAGACTGGCTACTCTTGAAATTTAACTCCTGTACATCACCTGGTCGAGGCTTGAAACCCTCGTCCGGATCTTCGCTGGTGATACGGGCGGCAATCACATGACAGCTCGGTGGGCGTCGCAAATGCTCAATATGTTCGAAGCAAACAGGCTCATCAGAATTGACTGGCAAACGGTACAATTCACGTATATCTTTAATCTGACGTAAGGGAATCCCCATAGCAATCTGTTAAGAGGGGTATTTGAAAGGAAAATGGAACTGATAAGGTTAATCAAAGACGTCAGCTACGGGAGGACAAACGAGCTGACAGACCAAGAGCAAATGACATTTCAGAAATAGTAATATTACAGGAACTGATGAGTATTTCTGGTATCTACATCATTGAACTGAGGTATTTCAAATGACATCAAAACAAAATATACGGAATAATTTCATTTGAAATCAAGGTAGATGCTGAGTGACCTCACGCACAGAGGAATATGCTGGGAACAATAAAGGAAGCGCGTCATAAGCCAGCAAGGCAAAGATGTGGGGAACCACATGTATAGAGTTCCTGAGAGCACTGCATATTCTCTAACATGTAAGACTGCTAAGTGTTGCCACTTTTCCTCATTGTTGTACATAGATCTAACATAAAAATAAAACAAACCTGAAGTTGGCATGCAGGAAGATTGACCTCAGCAACCACTTCCGTACACGGATGTTCAACCTGGAGCCGTGGGTTGAGTTCCAGGAAAAAGAACTGGTTTGAATCAGAATCGTACAAGTACTCAACTGTTCCCGCGCTCACGTAGCCTACCAGCTTGGCAAGCCTAACAGCAGCCTGTAAGAAATTTGTAAGTAAGCGAAGAGGACGTATGAGAAAACTTTGAGTATAGTACCAAAACATCGTGGAGCAGTCAAACAAAACTGAGTAAATTCAAAATTTACACAAGATCGAGGGTCTGAGGTTGTCTCGAGTGGCGTATACAATGTTTGTACAAACAACGTTTGGGGTTCAAAGAGCACTGGTTAAACAGTCTGGAGATAACTTAGAGTGAACATGATGCTACCTAAATACAGTAGAACTGAAATACGGTGCTCTTCCGAAGAACGCGAGTTTTAAGAACAGGGAGCGTAATCTATTGGTAGGCTCAAGCTTCAACCTCATAGTTAGGAAATCCCTGCTCACCTCCTCGATTTACATTAGGAAAGGGAAACTAATGAATACGACTTTAATGATGTGTATGAGACAGCGCGATATTTACTTAAATGGAGAAGGAAACTTATCCAACTTTTCTGCACAAGTGAATATACTGTTGACTTTGTGGGCGACACCTGTGCTGAATATCTGACCGGTCGATGAACAGAAACTGTTAAATACCATCGACGGAGCTGTCACTTGGTTGAATGTTACTTCTGGTGCCAACTCAACTTTATTTCATTCTGGTGCAAGAAGCTCCTGAGTTCTGTTGTCGAAACGTTCCGTGCACAGATGGGTTTTGCCAACGTCAAAGTTAGCGACTATGGAGCATTTGTCTCCTGTTGTCCAATACGACCAACTCAAGCATTTCCTAATTAAAAGAAATACTGAGCTAGGGCTGAAATCGTTGTCGACGAGGCCCAGATGACCAGCGATGGATGGATCCTAGACGCGCGATAACGTGAATGGAAAAGGTGGAACAAACATCCACTTACCAGTTCCACAATTTATCAATTCCTGCTACATTTGCCTAATAATAACTCAGGAACTGATTTTCGCGCAATCAAGCTTTGTAAGGATAATATTTTTTCTTTATAATGCCAATAACCCTATGACCAACCGACTTTGTTCTCTACTTGACACCACTGACCACTCACTCTCATTGTACTACACAAGATGACTGGAAACAGTGGAGTGAAGTTCCTGTTTTCGAAAAATTGTGAACGCCTAAGGTAGTAACAAGACATCGGTATCCATTATCCCCCAAAGTAGTCTCTAGGATGCCATTTCTCAATCTAACAGGATCAATTATTGACAATAACGACGGAGACAAAATTTCATCAGCACTAATTCAAATTGAAGAGTATGGAATTAAAGCTCAAAAATCGACGAAAATCCTACCAAATCTCTGAGACCTAGATGCATGCCAATACCAGGAGTGCCCGCGTGTACATCTGTGTGAGGTCCGTGTGGGTTGCACATACGGCTGGGTAGAACAATTAGAGCAAACCTCTGTCGCTACTGGTAAAAAGACCACATACACAACCACAGATTTTAAATGTCGTGACAGACCTATCTACCATTTACAAACATAGAGTCCGCTGGCTCTGTAGCGCTTTCCACTTTTGTGAAGCTAGGGAAACATAGACGTTTGCAAACCGAAGGCATAGGACACTGTGATAGAGTGTTGGCAAACAGAAATAAGACAGGGCTGAGTGACGTACTCAACAGGCATATCTAAATATGGCTAACTATAGGTTTGACTAGGATATAGATTAGTAATCGTGTTAGTACTAACGCAAAAAATTAGCAGATATCTTGGAAACAGAGCAAAAGATGGCTGAAGTGACCAGGGCCTCACAAACAGCGAATCACCTCACTCAATGTGGGTAGGAAAGTAAAAGGGGATGACCGAAATTTCTTTCTAAGCAATCGGTTTTGGGTCTGTTGAATAAGAGGTACTGACATGTTGATGTGACGATCGGTCTAACTGTACACCTGCCCGCTTGGGTTGCACACGAAACTGTAACTGAACTGAAATATTTATCTGCACGGCTAACTGCGTGCCAGTATCTCCAGAACACAGCAACTCAAGGTGGGAATGCTAGCAGACTTTATGTGATACGAATGTTCGCTGACAATCGACGCGATCGGATGGTGAGCAAGCGTAATAAAACTTCCAGTTCAATGGGAAATTTAGATGTAATGAAAATGTAAGTCATTCTAAGCAGTATTCGCGTCACAGCCAACCTATTCCGTTACTGACAAACAGCCTGAGTAGTCACCACTTGGGACATTTTGAGATGGACGCTGCGACAGCTTCTTTGTGATGAGGACGGAGACGAAAATAGCTGACACCTGTCGCGAACTTGCAAACTACGGAAGACGGTACACTAGGGTGAGTCCAGTCTACTGGGGCAAGCTGAAGGGAACGGAACAACTATGTATGCTACGCATAAAACTGTTCACCCAATGTGACGAGACCGCCATGACAGTGTGCGCTCTCGGTGCGAACGCTCGGTGTATATCCACAAAGGAAACATGAGCGGACAGGCATACAGCAACGAGCACAAGTGCACTAAAGACCAGCCGTCGTACCACTGTTAGGTACATGCGAACGCATGCAATCACGCCATCAGTAGACAGAAGGTAAGAATTTGTGCCAGAGAACGACCAAACATTACTGCATGCACAGTAAGCGTGACAAGCACAGTAGTTAGGTTTAACAGAGCTGACAATGGAGCCGTGGTTTCTTGATTTGATAGCATGCGGGTCATCGAAAGCAGAGCTCAGGCAGATCCATTTACCGGAAATGGTAACAAATAACTGGGTCAGTGAGGGATGTAAAACCGAGATGGACTAAAAATCGGCTGGTATTCAAAACTACACGTCCAAAGCTCACTGACGCATAGTATTTCTTGGAAATCCGTTCAAACACGTGTTTTTTTAAAGATCTGCTTAAGCTCTCGGTTACTTAGCTCCCGTGAATGGCTTGAATGGATTGCGTAAGTGACTTATATACTGAAAAATCAGTACTACTACGACCCTCCATCTTTCTTACTTCAACGACCCACCTCGTAACACATCCTTCTCTCTCCGCTGAAGCATGACTAACGATGTCGTGCCAGAACCGCCTCACTGTGACTGGTCTACGAGACCCCTCTAATCTGCCATGTAATCAGCTCTGTTTTTCTAATGCTGTGTTTTTTGTTGCCTATGTAGTATAAGTCAACCAACTCCCGATGTGTTCACCCTGACTTATGGTCAATAAAATTCGTGTACGTATGGAGACAGAAGACGATCAAAACAATTATGAAAATACGTTTTATGAAAATATCCCCTAATAAATTTTTATAAACCTAATCTGGTGAGACTAGAGATGGTAATAATTCGGAGGAACTTCATTTTGGGAACAACCATAGGTCGGTTCATGTCTTGCGAAAACAACATCCACACAAGGAGTCGTTACAGAAGGTAACGCAGGAGAAGTACTGAGAGTGAAGACAATCAGTTTGAACGACTGGCTATTCCCAATGGTCGGTTGCCTGACTTAAAAACTTGATCCAGCTATGCAGTCACATACTAAGTCGAACAGCGTGACCGTATACTGTGTGAATTTGGGGGCTCAGAGACTGAAAACCCCTATCAGGTCAACTTTCGATGAACATTCGCTTCTGAACCGAATTTGACGTGGCCAATGCTCACGGATCCAACTGGTGTTTTATCGTGATCAGCAATCTTTCGTGATTTGTACTCTCGATAACTGAGGCAAAAATCAGTTCAGTTAAGTCAATCGAATGGCCAGACGTGTTTCTTCGCAATCATTCGTGATGTCATCTATACCGAGAGCGATGCCGGAATTGGCGACAAAATATAATCGACAAGTAGGTTTGGTAAATAATACTTCGACAAGCCACTCGATGTAGGTCACCGACGACATAAAAGTAGCTTATCGCAAACCTTATAAGGAAATGCGAGGTGGATGTAGCTAGGGACCGTAAATAACAGGGAACTAACTCAAATACAAAGCAAGTTGTACTTGTCAACCAGGAGTTTCCAGTACGTTTTCTGGGTTCCTACGCAAGCAAAACATGCGATGACGAGGAAAGACAGTCGGAATGTACAGAGCCGAAACGGGCCCTTCGATATTGCACAAAGACAGAAGTGGAGGATGGTAAATGTGTTAGTGGATTATATAAAACTTATGCATACTTTATTAAGAAGTACGCAAGAACCCAGCCGTCCATTGATGGACAGTAAAAAATATCTAAACCACGGCAATTTCTGAGTATTGTCCCATTTTCGAATCGGTCTCATTGGTGTTCGCAAACTCGGCATGCACCATGAAGTTTTAGTTTTGTGCAAACTCAGTAAAAAAAACAGGAACCCAGTGAACAGCTTTCTTGAGAGATAAGTTAAGAAAATATGAATGTTCCAAGGTGAACTGGAATTGGAAAAATGAAGAATAATAAGTGACCTCAATAGCGATTTGAATACACAGAATCTCCTTTCGACGGTCTAACCACAAGATAAGCCCATCGACAGCTAAATAGCTAGAGAGAGATTACGCTGAAGGAATGTTGGCATCTAGAAGGAATTTTCATGCCCCTTGTCACATTTTCCACTATTATGTAAGTACGTAACCGGAAACTGATACCCTGCAAACAGATGCGTCTTTTACCTCTGGCATACGCGATAGGTGCAGTGCAGTCGCTCACATCGGCTTAGGGGTCTCCCGGCCATTACAGTTCCCTAGAATTTTCCCATTTCAACGCTACCGTGTCTAAGCAGATTAATTTCGGAAAGCTTCACATCAACTAACTGCTAACAATCTAATCGGATTTGGTCGCCCGAAGCGTTGTGATATGTGAACAGGTCCAGACAAGATAAACATTCACAATCGCTCTCCATCGGCTGTCGGAAACGGATGTCGGGAACTGACAGGGGTTTCCCTCCAATCTCGTAGCAATTGTGATTTGTTCTGTTGGTGCCGATCATACAATAATGCAGTATCACACCAGGAATCACTACCTGAGACCTTAGTGTCAGAAATATGAACATGAAATTAAGAAGGAAAGGGCAGTCCGCTTGTTGGTATCTTAAATGGGAAAGCAGGGGTTCGACAGCCAACCGCCTCAAAAACCTTTTGTTCTGTACCGCTTGCGTGGTCATTCAACAATTGGAGGTGTACCTAATCACAAAAGACCCTCTGGGTATAAAATTCTGTTAAAATGCTATGCTGCGCCACCAAACCAAAACAGGACGACAGTGGCATCTCAGTTGGTGGTGACCTGGAAGACCTGGAAGAAAACGGTCCTACTCCTGAGAAACTGAAACAATCAGCCATTTTTATGGCAGTCGTTAAAACATTACACAATCCACATTATAGGGAAAATGCTCCAAAAACAGGGTGAAAGCGATTCAGGATGTGGCTTGAATGAGGCGTCCGTAAGTGGTAGGAATATTTCCAATCATAAACGAGCTTCTTCCTATCCACAATGAACCGGACATCGCTGGCAACATTGTAAATTTGCTTACAAGACCTGGCAAATGTTAGTCTAAACTGACATGTCCCGGACAGTGCAAGGAAAGAAATTTGACAGCAACCAAAATTGTATGATACAACTTACTCGTTCCATAGCCTCGATAGCCTCTTTGGGAGCGACCACGATCGGAGCCTCCTCGATTATTTTTTGATGTCGCCTTTGTACCGAACAATCACGACCAAACAGACTTATGGCTTGCCCATATTGATCAGCCAGTAGTTGAACCTCAAGGTGACGTGACCGCTGTGCACACTTCATCACAAAAATAGGCGAACCTGGAACTTCACTTTGAACCTAGGGTGGGGATATCATTGGAAGAGAGAAATGAGGTGAAGTGGGATTCAACACGAGTAAGGGAGGAAATGTAGATGAATGGTAGCTGAAGCCGCAAAAGCAAAGTTGGGCTACAAGAAATCACTAGTTACGCATCAAAGATGGCAACCTATCACATGAATGAACTGAACACGTGACAAACCTGAGGGAAGAAACGAACAACCTCAGCGGCAGTTGATGCCTTCCGGATACCCTTTCCACCGCCACCCTCAGCCGCCTTGATCATGACAGGATAGCCGATTAATTCCGCACATGCTTGACATCCGGCCACATCGGAGACGCAGGCTCTGCTGTAGAGATCTTCTGATAACAGACTCGTTGGAGTGACCAACAATGGCGTCACATTCGTGTGCGAATGAGTCGGTAGGGTGTGAGTGTGGGGAGGTTGACCCAAGTAAAAACAGGGTTCCGTAGTTTGGCCTATACGACCGTCAGTATAAGTCACACGGGTTTTCAACGGAAGGGGCGACTTCTCGTTGGGTAATGAGAGCTCCGTTAACAAAGCCGACGACTGAGGAGATTGTCTGGGAGTCAGAGGGACACGGAGATCTGGGGACAAAATGTTAAAAATAGTCCAAATATGTCACAGTTTACTTCATTTCTGTGGAAAGGAGAACAGCGGTTGACTCATAACTCGGCGGGTAATCAAAAACGAGTAATTTCTACGTCCCAAACAACTAAGCTGAAATTAGATGAACCAGCAAGTCGGGAAAAAATTGTATTTATATCTCAAGAAATCATGATTGCTGCTTGCTGCTAATCTGGGTGACGTTCTAAACTCTGGTGGGGGAGAATGGAATCAAGGAACAACCTAACCCTTTCTCATTCTCAATCTTCGTAGACAGCATGCTAACTGACAGAATTCAAAAATTATTAGGTAGTTGTGGCAATAACCACTCGTTTGCACAATACGTTGGTGATAATGGGAGACTATAACGAACCTAAATGGAATCCCTTGTTTGTGAAATTATTCGACTACATATGCTGAATAAAAACCATCTCACGTTTCAGTTGGGATAATATTCATAAAATCGAAGTACCTGCAGTGACCCAGCACCGCTTATAAACAGTATGCAAATGGTCGCCTCCTTAGCGGTTTTGCATATGTAGGCATTAAAAAGAGTTAAATTTTGCTGACTTTCAAAGAGTAATATGCCAGAATTGATCGTGGTATGTAATTATACCAGAGAAACTTATGTTTGCTGCAAATAACTGTTTTAGTCCCACGTCTTTACATAATGTAGGGATTGAATGGAAAACTCAGATAAACCGGACGATGAGACTCTTAGAACAAGCCCATCCGTCATATAGAGCATCTGTCAAGCTACATGTGCTTAAATTCTGCAAATCAAGTGCTGTAACCAACCTGGAACCTTATGACACACTGAGGTAGCCCAGTGAGGTAATTGGATACGTATCTTTAAAAAGGCGGATCGTCTACGTACTTCGGCTACAGTTCTCCTTAGCAATGGAGCATTTCTCCACAACTAGAAGGAGCAGTGACAATTCTACCTGAGGAATACTTTCTTATTTTGAGCTGTAAATGGGTTAAATACTACTCGATTTCATAAGAGTACAATAAAAGCTGCTTGCCCAAGGTGAACTAAAAGGAACGTCTTACTTGAACCGCTCCAAGGAAGCGTTGGAACGTCCGCGCTTTGTGCCAGTATTGTGGATGCGACTTTATCACCGAGCGCCCACATCGCATAATGTGAGGGTCCTGAAGCGGGAGTTATGGACAACAGAATAACATAGGCCAATCCTGGCAATTTAATGAGGGGAGGGGTTTTTCCAGGTGACAGTGCAAAGGTATGCATAAATTTGCAAACCTACCAAGAAACGCTATGTTATGTTTGGACAGAACTTCAGGTAGTTGGGGATTTTCTGATGCGTGGCCCCATCCAGCCCAAACTGCCTGGAATGGAACAGGAAAATTGGGTTCGGTATGAAAAAAGGGCAAATGAAATGGATATGTACCGCTAAAGTGAAGCCATAATGTTGCATCTGTCTGAGTGTCACCAACCTTACATTTACCATTACAAGGTTGCACAGGAACCGAAAAGGCACAGTGCAGAATCCAAAGTGAGGGTTTACAAATTTTGCACCAAATTAAGGCCGATCCACCTCATTGAAAAGTCCGGATTTACCGCATCACGAATACCAACAAGTACTTCTACGACAATAGGTGCAAGAATGAAATAGTTCACTCCTTTCACGACCATCACTGGCAGGAGAAGTATCAAACGGTATATTATATTATATATTACACATTATATCAGAACGTCATATTACATATGGCATACCCTGCTTCCTTTTTAATCTGATGTATACTAAAGCCGAAATTCCGCCTGATGAGGGGTACCAATGTACCACCAAACAACTGCACAAAAGGACGTGCACAACACATATAGTAATCCATGTACCATCTATACAATTGTCAAGCCTATAAATCCATCCTTGGATCCCTGGATACGTCATCCAACTAAAGAACAGTTAATGACGGCTGATAGGTGGCAGCTGATCACTTCGCCGATCTTAGCGATTGGTCTCCAAACGTTAGCAAGCCAACTTCCAAGCTTGACGAACGGATCAACTAACACCTGATCAATAGGCGATAAGTACCCCAACTGACAATGTTTAGACATGTTGCTAGAGGATCCTATAATAGTGAATCTAATAGACCTCAGTTCCAGGGTGCGGGTGAACAAGGAAGGGTTTACGACAAGATAAAAAGGACAAAAACTTACGTCAACCTCATTAGTCACAGCCGTTTGCAAGATCAATTCCACGTTGGCATAGTTGTTTGGATTGGAACCACCAGGGACCATGACCGTCTTGTTCGCCATTTTGATGTATTCTGCGTTCGCTTGAACATCTTCTGGAGTTGCCATGCAGACAAATACCAACGCTTCTGAATCGAGAAATGTTGCGTAAGCCCATTTCCGTAAAGATCGCATACATTTGACAGCCGCAATCCCATTATTGGCTATCAAGATCTGGAGGAAGAACAAACATTGGTAACAGCCTGGTACTGAAAACCACAGTCATATATTTTATAATGGGCGAGCAGCTGGATTTGGAAAACGAACATGTATGTTCTCCTCAACGTGTACCAATATTTCATAGTACAAATGTGGCTTAGCAACGGAGCACCACGTTCCAACTACTATGGATCTAATAACAGTGACTGAAAATTTTCTTAAAAAGACCATCACAATGACATCTGTAACAAGTGGGATGCCTGAAACTTTCGCAATTACCAACAACTAATGGAAAATGGTGCAGCAAGTGTAAAGCATCCGTGGTATTAGCTAACTTGGAAATCGTGAAAAGCAATCGATACTACCATACACAAGTCTTTCCGAAGTATGCTGGACAGGGACAGTCGAGACGCAAAGGCCGGTTTCGAACCAGGACCTCACGACCTGTAAGACTACACCTTAAACACTTGCTTCGAAAGAACTCTCCTTAGGCAAACAAATGGCATTACGGTGCGAAGCTCACGTATTACACTGTACGGACATTTTCAAGTCCTAATCAGAAGTTAGTGCTATGATTTCCAGCACAGAACTTTGAGGGGGAAAAGTTGGTGCTTATTTTTATTCCTACCGAATATTTCAGTTCCATTTTTGACCGTTACAAAATTACTAGGCAAAATGCCTTCGCGTTCTATAATCCTGAACCTGAGGATAACCTAATCTTCTTAGATGTGCTGGGCGAGATGGCCCAAGTGGTTAGAGCGCGAATTTACTGACCGGAAGGTAAGTGGTTCGAATCCGACCTCCGCCACTCGATTCCCCCGTCTAGGCTTGGGCAACTTGGCAGTATCCCAGCCCTCGTGCTTCCTTCGGGTGGCATGGAAGCTAGGCACCGGAAGGGTGCTACAGCTGAACGCTTAGATGTGCTGGCAACTGACGCAAATCGTAACCTGCTTTGGAATTATTTGAAGAATGAACTGAAGCAAATGAAGTGCGCGTTATGATACACAAAAAATATTGTGGTTTAAAAGTGCAGGTTGCTTGGTTCAACGAGATTACCCTAATCCTTCAATGAATTTACTTCGCAAAGCGCACCTGATCGGACATCGTTTCAAGCAGGCCTACAAAAGCGCCACTAAAATACATGTGCATACAAATGCTGAGTGCCTACTTGAAAATTTTGGCGGATAGGGTGATTGGACAGAATCACCTGAGAGGACAAGTTAAGAATTCCAAGGCTCCAGGAGTAAAAGCGAAGGCAAAAGATCAATCAAGCGTACAAGCCGAGCTTAACAGCGATCGACCGAGAAAGGGTGAACCGGTGCGTGATCCAAAATGCATATCTTTCTATATTGTCCGCGGGATTCATTGACACAGCATTCCTATTTGTGATGTCGCACAGAACGCATACAAAACTGATTAATGTGCCGACAAAAAAGGAATGTGCCAGGAGAAATTCGGTAAACTTTGAGAATCAAAAAGATGATACGTCATCTGTTCTGAGGGTTGCTGAAAACTCCACGATAGCCCACTACCGCTTTCACCCCTCTCGGAATTCATCAGCCCTATTTCCTGCTCCAACACCAAATTTATGTACGAGGGGTTATATACTGATACTGGTACTTCCGAAGACAATAATCGTGAACCAAAAAGCCGCCTCATGTTTCAGATAGAACGATAATCAAGCTTTCGAAGTAAAACTTCCTTGACATAATTCATTACTAGTGTGGTTGCTGTGAACTTCCCGATATCCCACTACCGGTCTCAATTTTCTCGTAGCTTGCCCATTGGGCGTGGTCCCCGGGTTTTCAACAGCCCTATCTTCCATCTACATCGTTCGACTTCTGGAACGCATAGCTAACTGACGACTGGGCAAATAGTTTAGACAAGAAACAAGAAGTTCCTATCAGAGATACAACAGTACGATAAGATGATAACTCGTTTAGTCAAATTATCACAAATTATCACACTGGGCCTCTGCCTCTGGTGACTGGAATGACCACGCAAAGCAAAAGTAGCCATCTTAATGGGAATCGTGAGGCTCCGGATCGTTCATTTGTTGCCTCAACCACAAGAGCCTTCGAGGGGTCACCACAGAGCTGACTCTACGTTGGGATTCAGCTTTCACTGTGCAGTGGGGGTGGCTAACGTCATCATGCCGAATAGCTGTACTCACCCTAACTGAAAACTGGTAGATACTACTCCGTCCATTTTACTGAAACACACTACGTTGTTGGTTAAACATGGATTAGCTGGCTGCTCTTTGCTACAGATCCGGCGTTCCTTGTGAATTTCACCGAATACAGGATCAAAATACAACAACAAATTAACTTCACCCAAGCAGTCCAGTTAGGAAGCGATGGCAAACTCGTCGGTGAGATCGGTTGTGTGCCGCGTACTGTACAGTTCTCAATAACCGCAAAGAAGGATCACAAGGATCCCATTTAGGAAGATCCCGCAGTACTCAACGTTAAAGTAGCCATCATCATTCCTGGTTGTCAAGTCATGACCTATTCTTCGTGAACTTCACGCCAACAATGGTTTGAGGTAGTAAACGCGGTATTCTTTGGTAGACGGGTGCGGAAATAAGTCAACAGAGGCTAGAATTTTCAACCGGTCCACTGAAACCAACGATGAACATTTTGGGATACGTTTGCAATAGTCTCCAAGAAAGGATGGCGACTGATCAAGTAATTAGGTGCATTGTTTCATCAATAAAACGCAAAAACTAAGTGTTCCATTTTCATCAATTAATCGGAAAGAGTTGCATAACCCCACTGGCATCCATCAAATTAGAACCACCACTTTCGAATGGGATTATCGGCAGTCTTTGTTGGGAGTTGTACTGTGTAGGAACAGTTGATACCAACCAGAAAGTGAATGTAAATGGGCCAATATCTGCACCTTTACGACGACCAGTCGCTGTTCCATTGCAAGTGTTGACGCCGACTGCTCCGATAGCACTGTGTACTCCCACCCCCCAAACATAGTTGTTAATAGTAGTTAGCGGTGTGTACATGCGTCCGATTTAGAGTCGAAATTCAAGGCAACTTTTAAGATACCTTAGTTTGTCCCTTTTTAGGTGTCGTACTGAAACGGAGCACACACGCACATCCCATATGGGAACTAGAACATTTGAAGCGCAGTCATTCGAAAAACGACAAATGTTTGAAACAAACGACAAATAACATATTGGGTCGGGGGACGGGTGTGTAAAGATAAAAACAACAATCAAATGAGTGTAAATAGCGCGCACTAACTGCAACGAGTTCGTGTATTGACCCACCTTTTCTATCACCCTGGTTCCACCAGACAGACGGACAAACTCTGTTAAAGATGTGTAACGCATCTTCC